TCCTCCTCCTCCTCCTTCTCCTCCTCCTCCTCCTCCTCCTCCTCCTCCTCCTCCTCTCAAGCCAGGGCCGCCGCGCGCCAGGGTCGCCTGTGCGCCCCCCTCGGGGCTGAACGCTGTCTCCTTCAGGCGGCTGCGGCTTGAGACGAAGCACATCCTTCGCAACTCCGAGGTCAAGTACTTCTTCGAGTTCTGCTTCCACCAGTGCTTCTACTGGTGCATGCGCAGACTCGCATTCCTGGTGCCCTACCCGCTCATCTGCCGCGACCTGGGAGCGCGTATATCCGAATTTGCCCATCATGGGGACTGGCCCAGTGTCAACGTCACAGTGCTGGACGTTGGGACCTCTTCCATCGCCTCCGCCAGGCAACTGGGGCGATCTACTGGACGCGGGCAAGGAGTACAACACGAAGGTGAAGCTGGACACGATCACCCTGGCCGGGCGCCACCTTCACCGCCGCCACAGCCGTCAAGAAGTTGAAGCGCTGGCCGAAGACGCTCGGCGCAGTGAAGCTGGATCAGAGCATCGGGAAGCAGGAGGAAAACGTGAAGAAGAAGAAGAACGGCCAGGCCTCGGCCATCAAAAACTACAAGAAGAGGCTGAGGCACAATATGCTCAAGGCCTCCGTGTACAGCCTGTCCATCACGGCTCCCCAGGCGAGCCCGTCGTCTTCGCAAGCTCCTCTCGGCGGTCAGAGCTCAGCACGTGCGACGAGCTCAACAACTCCTGCGGGATCATCTTGATCTACGGGACCGGCGGTGCTCGTGAACGTCGGCCGGTGCTCTGTGGCGCTGCCGCCGCTGCCGATGCCCTTCCAGGTGAAGAAGGAGTAGAGATCACCAAGTTCGGCGAGGCTCCGTTGATTTTCACGCCGGGCGCATCTTCGGCCTTACAGTTCGAGGAGTTTCGGCCCAGGCGTCCTACCATCGTCAAGGCGTTTCCAGCCATGACCGTTTGCAAAACAGTTGTTCCGTGCACGCTTGAGAAGGACTCCAACCAGCAGACCGACAAGTTCGACAACTCCGAGGGCACGTTGCCCAAAACCTTGGACATCTTTGAGGGCGCCTTGCCCAACACCTCCGAGGGCAACTTCATGCCCGACTCCGAGGGCCACTTCGAGCCCGACTCCCACTTCCTCGGCGCGCCGATCCACGTTGACGGGCCCGAGCGTCACGACATCGACGTCGGCACGCCGCTCCACTTCGACGACGGGCACGAGCGTCACGACATAGACCAGCAGAGCGTCGGCGGGGTCGTCGAGGGCAACTTCGGCGGCAACGGCGAGGGCTCCACCTGCGAGGGGGCCCCTGAGCTTGGCATCGAGGAGGACGGCGACCACCTTGGCGGCGGCTCCTACGACAGCGGCTCGGAGTGCATGGGGGCCTCGCGCACGTACGCGGAGGAGCAGTTGGCTTCGCTTGGGCCTTCCAGGCTTGCTGTGCTCCGCAGGTTGGGATTCATCCAGACATTGTGAAGAAGATCTGCGTGGTCTCCTTTTGGCATCGTCGGTCGGTTGGTTGAGGAATTCAGCAGCGTGTGGAACGGTTTCCAGCTCTACTCGGACATCCCATTTGAGGCATTCTGGTTCAAACCCGCGCGTGCAGGCCCGCGCGTTCCCGCGATTAGGAGCCTGGGTGTGCGCAGCGCACTGGACAAAAATCCTGCTCCTCCTGCTGCTGCTCCTCCTCCTCCTCCTCCTCCTCCTCCTCCTCCTCCTCCTCCTCTCTCCTCCTCCTCCTCCTGCTCCTCCTCCTCCTCCGCCTCCTCGCCCTCCTCTCGAGGATGTGCCCCTCGCCTGCGCGGGGCGCGCCGCCGGCTCGGCCCGCCCCCGAGGAGACCCTGCGGCAGGCCTCGGAGACCGCCGCGCGGCTGCTGCAGGAGCACGAGCGGCTGCTGCGGGAGTCCTCCGCGTTGATCCGCGGACCGCGGGCCCGCGCGCTGGGGGCCTTCCCGGGCCGGACGGAAGGGGAGGGATAGGGGGAGAGGGGGTCGACGAAAATTGCTGCGTGCAGCTGGTGCCGGCCCCACCGAGGGGCCCGTTCCTCGGTGCGTGGCCGCCTGCGGCGCCGGGAGGCGCCGGGAATATCAGCTACGCGAGCTGATTCTCACCCCCCCCCCCTTTCGCCCGACCCGATCTTCCAGGAGGGAAACAACACGCAGACACGAATCGTCGATTCCCCGGAGCACATGGGAAACGATGGGAAAATGTGGGTATAGTGGGGGGAGGGCACGAACCCAGAGAAAATATCAGAACATACGGGAACATCCTGTCATTTGTGTGTATTTACTGGTGTGTCCCAGGGCCCCTTCGGTCTTTCGATTCCTCCGATTCGACTCGACTTCGATTTCGACGGCTTCCGATTCCGATTCGGTTCGATTTGGGATTCCGATTCGGGATCCGATCTCTCGATGGAGGCCCACTGGCCTGCCGATGTCTACCGGTTCGGCTTCTCCCGTCTCGGCTGCCGATTTCCGTTGGTCCGATTGATTTCGATCGCCGCTCCGACCTATCGGTTCGATTATGGGCTCCCCCGGCGCAGCGGGGAGGAGGGAAAACTGAGGATTTGTTGGATATCCGCAGTCAGGGGCCCACAATCATATTGGGCAACAAGAAGAGGGTCCGAGAGACCCCGACCACGTTCGGGTGGAGTCCGTTCCCGGGCTTCCTCCAGATCTCCTCGAGCGTGCGAGGGTGAGCGAAAGGTGTGCGCTGGGCGCCAAGCCCGGCGAGGCTTTCTCTAGACCTGAACGCACCGCACAGCCGACATCTACACACGAAAGACTCACCACTGCAATCCAACATCGGGCACGGATGTCCGCTGAGCCTGCGGGCGGAGTCTCAGGTATTTGGTGCACTTGCCTGTTGGGCGGCATCACAAAACGTTCGGGCGGAAGAAGGACCAGTGCAAACCCAAAACGCAGGAACGATGTTACAGTAAACCCTCCTTCCCGGTCCCCTCTTTTCATAGGCTCCTGCAAGGGTTCATGTTCTCTGAGGGGAAGTTCCCCCGTTGGAAGACAAGCGTTCGGAAATCCTGAACCGTGCCAGAACACAGATCCTGGGACTTCAACGCTGCGAATCAACGTTGTTGTTGTTGCGACCTGGCGGCCTTGCGTCGTGCCAGTGCACATTTCCTGGGACTTCAGCTCCTCGAATCAACCTAACTGTCGCGCCCTGCCAGTCCTACATCGCGCCGTTACACAATTTCTGGGACGTTCGCCACACTTATGTTTGAACTTGTTGCGAACGTTTACGACAACCGTGTGGTGCTAACGTGATAGCCACGTTTTGAAAAAGTGCCGCCCTCAATCCGTGAAAGTTTGACACGATTGTGCGCGGCGCTGAGGCGAGAGCCACACTTTGAAAAGGGCCCGCCCTCCATGCGTGAAGTTCTGGCTGTCTCAAGCCCGTGCGCGCGTCATTGAGGCGAGCGCCCCGTTTCGAAAACGACCCGCTGTCCCTCCGTGCCACCCCCTCCAGACCTCTGAGACCGAGCTGTGCGGCCCCAGTGGCGAGAGCCACGCGCTGACGACGGCCCGCCCTCCGCCTGGCGATGACGATGACGCCTCTCGGCCCAGGGATGCCGGAACGTGAGAGAGGGGGCCTCGGGCGAGACGCCCGGCCCGCCCCAGCGGCACGCCCCAAGGGTGCGACGGGGAGGAGTTTTGTCCACACGGGCAAGGCGTCGAGGAGGAGCAGGAGGAGGAGGAGGATCAGAGGGGGTGGAGGGGGCAGGGGAAGCAGGAGGAGGAGGAGGAGGAGCCAGAGAGGGGCCCTGAAGAGCCCGAGGAAGACCTCCCCCAACTCGGCCCAGGGAGCCTGCAAGAGCAAGACGAAGCCAGGACCAGATCACATGAACATGGACGTGTCGGGAGTATATGAGAGCCCGCGGGCTTGAAGGAAGTATCAGGCGCTGCGGCTGTTCCAGAACCGCAGACCGAAGCAACCTCGACAGTCCAGGGCCAGGACAAATCGCAGCCTTGGGCTGCTGCGCTCGTCGCGGAAAATCACGGTTGGAGGTTTTCGACAGGCTTTTGTTTCGGGGTTGGACAGATCTCCTACCCTGACACGTCGATTAGCGAATTGGCCGTTTTCGGTTCGCGGGAGGGCGTCGCGGCCGTCATTTGTGCGGGTCCAGGTCCGTCGGTTTCGGTCCCAGGCCGCTTTCATTAAGGGAGGTTTACTAAAGGGAGGTTTGTCCACCGCCGATTGTTTCTGGGGGCTCGGTGGGCCCCACGACCGTCAAAGAGCGATCCGCGATGGAAAACCGGCCCTGGGGGAGGGGGTCGGGACTTCCGGGGACTCCGCATATCCAACCAAAAACAAGACGCCGCATGTCTGGGCCGCCGGGTGGCGGTGGACATGGACAAAGGTGAACCTCGGGCTGCTGGGGAGCGCGATTGCTGGTGGCAAGTCTCAGCCTGGGATCTCTCGGGCGATGGTTCGTGGATTTGTTTGTGATGTTTGATGCATGCAGACTTTGGCGGCGCCTCCAGCTGGTGTGGATCTCCTCCTCCTTCGCCCGCTGCTGCTCCTCCTCCTCCTTCGCCTGCTGCGTCTCCTTTCCCTCGTCAGGAAGGAGGAGGAGGAGGAGGGATTGGAGAAGAATTGATAGAGGGATGATGGAGGAGGAATGGGGAGGAGGAGGAGGAGGAGGAGTGGAACATGTTGAAAAAGCAGGAGGAGGAATAGCAGGAGGAGAACGCAGGAGGAGGAGGAGGAGACGGAGCGGATGTTGCAGGAGTCTTCGCGTTTGTCTTTGAGCCGCGTGGCCCAAAGGTTTATCGGGCTCGAGGATCGAGGCTTGGATGCTGGATGTTGTTGCCGTCGCATATTGTTCTGCGTTGTTCGATATCACGCGGAGACTGGTTCTGGGGCTCATTGGCATCCCAGCGCTTGCAGCCCACGTCCATGGGCGCCAACAGAGCGCTCTCACTGCCTTCGCAGACCCGTGGCCTGGCACTCCTGCGCAACATCGTGGCGCTCTGAGCGTGCTCAGCCGCCCGCGGGTTCTCCCTCTCCCCCTCTCGCGATCTCCCTGCTCGCGTGAGTGCCCAATGCGGCCCCGCAACGCCCCTTGGTTGCCTCGACCGCGGCTTGGACAATCAATGTGTGTTCGAAGTGCTGGTCAGAACGTGTCCCTGGAGCGGTCACAAGTCCGTGTAAAGCGAGCTCTGTGTCGCAGAAGCGGACGTTGAGGCGTGGCAAGGTGTTGCCTGCTGTGCTGTAGGGTTTCTAGCCATGTTCCAAGGCCCACAATCATTCTCCTCACGTACGGGCGCATGCACCGCTTTATGTCAGTTTCTGGGGCCCATCCACCAGCTCTTTGTGACGAACATCTGGTCGTGAAGAAGCCACGACGTCGGAGGCATTGCCGCGCGGAGTCGGGTTGGGGGATGTACCACCTGCGCCTCCTCCTGTTCCTCCTCGTCCTCCTCCTCCTCCTTCCGACTCGAGGTTGCGGTCGTGACACGTCTCCACACCTCCGGCCTCGCAAACTCCGCGGCGGCAGCGCCACATGTACAGCTCGGTGTGGCGCAGATGCGCCTGGCGAGCCGAACAGCCACACGGCCAACTGAGGCGGGGGCCCAGAGCAAGACACCTTCGCGAGTGGAAAAAAAACACACTCTGGAAGATGCCCCTGCATTTTCGGCCCCTCGGGGCTCTCGTCGGGCCCCGGGACCGTCGAAGAAACACTCGGGATTAGAAGCTGGCCCTGCGGAAAAAGGTCGGCGGCGGGCGACGGGAGGGATCAGAAGGAGAAGGCTTTCTCAGAGGGCGGTGGAGTTTCTCAGAAGCAATCGCGCCTTCTGAGAAGTTGTCTGTGTCTTCAGGGGAGAGAGAACACTTTTCAGAAGCCCACGGGACTTCCGAGCCTTCTGAGAAGGCACGCCCCTTTTCGCTTCCCACCCCCGCTTGCTGCCGAAGAGAGTCCGGTTTTTCAGGGAACCCGTATTGACAAAAAAACACGGGAATCGGATAATCATTTGGGTTCTAGGCTTGTATGTTTCCGATTCCAGCTCCACTACCTGGGGGGGCCGCGACTCCCCAGGCCTCAGGGAATCGGGTGCGGCCACCTGCTGGGTCATGCGGTGCCCCAGCGCATCCACATGCACTTTCTTCAAGGTTCTGGGAGATGGGATCCCGAGGTGTCATATAGTCGGCGGCGAGCGAGGAGGGATAATGAGAAGGAGAAGGCTTTTCCAGAAGGCGGCGGGACTTCTTAGAAGCCCTCGCGCCCTCTGAGAGGTGTTCTGCGTGTTCGGGAGCTTCCCAGAAGGCTGGTTGACTTCCGAGCCTTCTGAGAAGGCTCCCCCCCTTCTCTGTTCCCCCCGGGCGCGCCGCCCATCTCACTAGGTGTGGAAGCACGTCCGGCCCCAGAAGTTGGGCAGACCGGCTTGCCATGTAGCCGGGCTGCCTGTGCCAGCCACCCGTGTGCCTGTGTGCGTGCAAGTGCCCGCCAGGCGGCCGCCTGCAAGACTGGCGCAGTCGCCGACGACTGCGACGCCGACGGTCACCACCCACCAAACCACCCCAACCCAACCCGAAGGCCTCAATTTGCCCTCCATTTCCAGTGGGGGGGGGGTCCGGGAACATCGAACAAAATACATATGGAGCCCATACCCCCCCCAACCCGAAATTCGGGTCTTCGGGTTGGGTTGGGGTGGTCTGATAGGTAATTAGTCAGACGGCGACGCCGGCGGCGGCGGCGACGACGGCGGGTCCCAGCGGCGGGTCCCGGCAGGCCTGGAACGGTCGAGGGTTCTCCGCAGCGATTTTCGTTTCACGGCGCGAGCACGTCGGGCTCGGCGGTGGCGTCGGGCGGCGGCCTCGGGGCGGGCGGCGGCGGCAGGGCTCGCCGACCTGCAGGCCACGCTGTCGCCCAGCGCGGGGCGGGTGTCCGCACAGCTGGCGGAGCTGCAGAGGCTGGCCCCCAAGAGGAGGAGGAGGGGCAGGGCTGAGCTTCTAGGTCGGGTTTTGATGGTTCGTACTGTCCTGGTCCTGTTTCCAGCGTGCCTTCTGGGAATGCGCCTATTCACGCCAAGTGCGCCGCACTTGGCGTGTATCCCGCGCGGTTGGTTCTTAGCGTATAGCGCAGGGCTTGTTTTCTCCAAACCTTCTTAGCGTGTGCGCCCTTGCGTTGTTGAGCGTGTCAGCCGCTTCGATTTCGCAGGGCCCGAAAGCACGCTAAGAAAAGTCGAGGAAGTAGGTCGACCCTGCCAAAATCAAGGGTATCCTTGTGTCATGTGTGTTCGCGGCCCATGCCTTCTTCTATTTTTATAGCAATGCGGCCCTCGGAATGGTCTTGTGTCCTCTCGCGTGTCCTCTCCAAACAACCCTGGTCGGCACCAGCATCAGCGGTGTGCCTCGACCGAGGGAAGCTGATCCTGATCTCGGCGACAATGGTAATACCCGGTCCTCTTAGGTGGCAGATAGACACCAGAATTCATCCCTCGGTGGAGGCGACCCCCAGGGAGGGCCGAGCTTCGAGGATAGTTTCCGGCGTGCCTCATAAGACCCGTGCGTCGCATTGTTTGTCACAACCCGCGATTCTACCTCGTTTCGGGCCCCCGGGCCTTGACCGAACAGTCGGGCTCGGAAGATGCTGCAGAATCACAGGGTGCAGGGCTCCCGAGATTTTTTATGTTGAGGTGTTGTTCGTGATGTCGGATCTCAGGGGTGAGTGTGCTTTTTAATGTGTGTGTGCTTGTGTGTGTGCTTGTGTGTGTGCTTGTGTGTGTATTCTGTTTTCAGGGCCTGTAGGCGGCGTCCCGAGGCTACGGTGGGGCATGTCAGTGCGCACGCACCCCAGGACAGGTCAGGAGGCAGAGCTTCGAGGCGAGACTCAGATGTCGGGTGGATTGATGGCTTCCCACCCTCGGGCTGACGGAAAGGGGGGGGCAACAAAGGGGGGGTGAAGAAACATGCCCTTTTTGCACCCTAAAGGGACCCTTTGTTGCATTGCACGTTTTTGTAAATCCTCGGCTCTGTCATCTGGCCCGACGTTCGTTGCGCGGTGAACGCCGTAGTGAGTTGTGCGTGGGCCACAGAGCTCTTCTCTGACCGACCCTAACCCGCGGGTTACGCTGCGGCACACGGGCCGGGCGCGCGCGGCCGCTGCGCGCACCAAAAAGTGGATGCACTTTTTCGGTTTCTTTCATTTCGTGCAAAGCAGCATTGGGCCCCTTTAAGGACACTTTCGAGCCACTTTTTGACCCACGGGGGCAGTTTAGGGGCACTTTTGGGACACTTTCATGCATTGCAACTTTTGGCCGCCAGCCAGTTTCGCGCATCCAAATGTCTGCCTAGGTTGCGTTCGCCTGGTGTGTAGACCGCAACTTTGTTGCGATTTTTTCATTGCGCTTCGAGTTTGGGAGAGCCGCCGTCAGACATCCAGCGGGCATCCTGAGCGCCGCACACATTGCGAGACGGCCCGCCGCTTCCGATTGCTCAATCTGGGTTGCGTGCGCTACCCCCCCTTTGCGTTACCCCCCCTTTGCGGCAGGCCGACACCCGACAGGTTGGGGCTGCCAGTTTTGTTTGGTAACCAAATTATCCTGGCGAAGATCCCAACCATATGCACTTGTGAGTACCGTAATTGTGAATATCTGCTTCGGTGAAGCTCCCTACGGGGCCACGAAGCGCTGCACTGGGCGGGGGGGAACGCTGTACTGTGTGGGTGGTGTGCCGAATTGTGTTTCCTGGACGCATGCGGACGGACCCACTGAGGGCTTCGGTGTAGCTCCCTATGGGGCCACGAAGCGCCCTACTGAGTGAGTGAAAATGCTAAATTGGGTTTCCGGGGCGCATGCGGACGGTCCCACTGGGGGCTTCGGTGGAGCGCCCTATGGGGCCACGAAACGCTGCACTGCGCGGGTGAAAATGCCAAATTACATTTCCCGGACGCATGCGGACGGTGGCACCGGGGCCTTGGGTGGAGCCCCCTTATGGGGCCACGAAACGCTGCACTGGGTGGGTGAAAATGCCCAATTGGGCTTCTGGGATTCATGCGGACGGGGGCACTGGGGCCTTCGGTGGAGCCCCCTATGGGGCCACGAAACGCTGTACTGAATGTGCGGGACGCATGCGGACGGTAGCGCTGGGACCTTCGGTGGGGCTCCCTATGGGGCCACGAAGCGCTGTTCCGGGCGTGCGGGACGCATGCGGACGGTAGCACTGGGACCTTCGGTGGGGCCCCTATGGGGCCACGGAACGCTGTAATGGGTGGGTGAAACGCAGGGAGGAGGGGGAGGAGGGCCACGAAACGCTGTACTGGGTGTGCGGGACGCATGCGGACGGTAGCACTGGGACCTTCGGTGGAGCTTCTTATGGGGCCACGAAGCGCTGTTCTGGGTGTGCGGGACGCATGCGGACGGGGGCACTGGGGCCTTCGGTGGGGCTCTATGGGGCCACGGAACGCTGTACGGGGCGTGCGGGACGCATGCGGACGGTAGCACTGGGACCTTCGGTGGGGCTCCCTATGGGGCCACGGAACGCTGTACTTGGTGGGTGAAGCGCAGGGAGGAGAGGGAGGAAGGCAACGAAACGCTGTATGCGGTATGCGGGACGCATGCGGACGGTAGCATTGGGACCTTCGGTGGAGCTCCCTATGGGGCCACGAAGCGCTGTTCTGGGTGTGCGGGACGCTGGCGGACGGTGGAGAGGAGGAGGGGGCAGAGGAGGAGGGGAGAACGCGGGGACCGCTTCTTCAAAACAAGGACCCAACACCACAGGATGGTTGAGGCAAATAATACGTACATACATACATGTACACATTTGTTTCCATAAAACATACATACATGATACATCCAATATATGTACACAGTTGCTTATCTTTGATACCAGTCATGTGTATATATATATACGTATGTCCATAGTTGCTTCTTTAGCTGGTACCATTCATGTATATAAATACACACCTATATACGTATCTACATTTTTCGAGTACAAGCGCGAACGCACACCCTGCATACCGCGGCCGCCAGGCAAGTGTGCTGGTGCTCCCTGGGGATGTCGCCTCGCGTTCTCGGTTGGGGATCGTTGGAAGCATATTAATGTTTCGTTTGCGCTTTTCGTTCTGTCTGGGCCTCCAGGCGGCTCCTTGTGGCCACGGCTGGTTCCCCCCGATGTCTGGGTGAGAACGCCCCCCAGGACAAGTCGGGAAGCCGATGTCGACTCAGACATGGGGCCAATTGAGTGTATTAACCCTGGCGTTTTTGTTCACTTCGGACTCTAGGGTCAGCTTGCTGGCCCCAGGGCCGCCAAACATGTCTCTGAGCAAAAAGAACGCCCTCGGGCAGGTGGTCGAGAGTTTGGTGGACCGCATCCAAGAAATCACGTCGTCTGACGTCTGGACAGGATGGGCATAAGCACTAACAGCATCCAGCGGGGGGGTGGACCCAGATATCCGAAATATTGTTTTTTTCAAGTCGTTGCCCAGAAGTTCCGATCCTTTTCCCTGAGGCTCGTCATCCTCAGTCGCTATTCTTGACGGCTCCAGAACCCAGAATGGGCCCCCATGGCGGCCGACAGCGGGGGACATCAAATGCGTCTTGATGTCTTCAATGCCCCGGATGTCTGTGTCTTCGTCTTGCAGTGGAGGTGCCGAGCGTCCGGGGAGGACATCTCTGCACAGATCCACCTCGACCCCTCCGGAGAAGGGAAGGAGACCCTTACGAATGCTCAATCCCAAGCTCAGGCTCGTGGCGCTGGAGCACGAGTCGTGGCAGGGCGCGGAGGGCCCGGCGAGCGCGCTGGGGGAGGAGTGCGCCGCAGGCCACGGCGGGTCTGCGCCGCAGCCTTCGGGAGTAGGGCGAGCGTCGGAGGCGCTCCGTCGCCAAAGCAGGCTGCGGCCAGTTTCGTATGTCGACTGCTGATTAGTAGGAGCCCAAGGGCCGCGCGTCCTTCCAAGAGTGTGGAGCCCCGACCGCATCCGCTTCTTCACGTGCTGCTGGCACCTCCGCACGCTGCCCGCAACCGGGTTGTGCGGAGGGGGGCCCTCAGCTCAGCCCCGCCAGCGCTGAGTGCAGGTCGTCGGTGGGCGAAGGTTCGGATGAATGAAGCAGCATGAAGGGGGGTCGTCTTCGCCGACATCCGCGCGCAGGCTGCCCGCATAAGGTCGCGCGTAAGCGCCCTCGTTTCCAGTGGCGTGCCGCGCTGGCGGCCCGTGCAAGCTGCGGCGTTAGGTCGCTGTGCCATTACCCGTTTCGGTTCGTCGTCCAGACAAGTTTTCCGATGTGAGCGGGAGGTTTGGAGGTCTGCGAAGGTTCCCAGGGGCCTCTGCTGATGATAATGCTCCACAGCGCCCAGGGACGCTTCGGAGCGGCCGCGGGTCCCGACCCATGCTCCAGGCCTGGGGTCCGAAATCTTTGCTCGGTGTTGTTCTTTTCCCGCCGTCGTTTCTCTCAGGAGGCTTTCGGAAGCTCTGCACGCTTCTGCGAAGGCTCAGAACGCGACCACTCCCGAACGCCGTAACCCTCGAAGAGGAGGCAGAAGAAGGGGAGGTGGAGCAGCAGCGGGGAGGAGGAGCAGCAGCAGAAGGACGAGGCGGTGGAGAAGGAAGGAGTTCAGGAGGAGAACGCGGTCGAGTCGAGGAGGTGGAGCAGCAGCGGGGAGGAGCAGCAGCAGCAGAAGGACGAGGCGGTGGAGAAGAAAGGAGCTCGGGAGGAGAGAGCGGTCGAGTCGAGGAGGAGGAGGAGGAGGAGGAGGAGGAGGAGGAGGAGGAGGAGCAGCAGGAGGAGGACGACGACGACGAGGAAGAGGTCAAGGCCCGAATGAGGAGCAGGAGGTCGACGAGGCTCCCCCGCGGGTGCGAGGCGAGGCCGCCGCGCCTGCGGCTTCGGCGCACGCCGACGGGCCAGCTGCCCCGGCGCCCAAGGCAAGGGCGGAGGGGCGGGCAGGACAGGCCGACGGGAGGAGGAGGAGGAGGAGGAGGGGGATGAGGAGGAGGAGGAGGAGGAGGAGGAGGAGGAGGAGGAGGAGGAGGAGGAGGAGGAGGAGGCGGAGGAGGCATGGGTACCAATACCGCCGCCCGTCCTGGGGAGCTCTCGTGGCCACGGCCGGATTCTTCCCGAAAGGCTGATCAGAATTCTCCCCTATGAGAGGTCCATGGAGTATTGGCATCGGTACCTCTTTCTGTCCCTGGAGGAGGAGGAGAAGCAGGAGGAGGAGGAGGACGACGAATGAGAGGGTGGAGCGGGGATTAGGGTGAGGGGGAGGAGGAGGAGCTAGGCCAGACGGAGAGGGAGGAGGAAAGGGAGGAGAGGAAGAAGGTTGAACGGTGAGGAGAACGATGCGAAAAAGGGTGAATGTGGAAGTGGGAAGGATCCGCAGGGAGAAGACGGAAGGAAGGAGGAGGAGGAGGAGGAGGAGGAGGAGGAGGGGACACGCGTAGCTTGTGAGTCCCCCCGCCGAGCTGGGAAGTACCTTCTACAGAGGATGGAGAGTTGAAGAGGAATGAGGGGGAGGATTCATGGGGGAGGGCGGGGAGGATGGTCACGGAGAAGGGGCAAGGGGGAGGCATTGGAGGGACGAGGAAGATGAGGTGGAGGGTGGAGGGTAGGACCCATCGGCCGGCCGACCGACCGATGGGTGGTTTATGAAGCAGGAAAGGGCAGAGTGGGCAGGTCCAGGAAGGGCGGTTTGGCAAAGGCTGCGAGCGAGACATGCTGAAGGGAGGTTGAATGGAGCAAGGATCCCAGCTCTCCAACACCGAGGTTCGATGACGTGTTCGAGAATCAAGGTTCGAAGGCGTTTTCTGTTGTTTGGATCTACGCGAGACTCCTCGTCGCCACGTCTTTCCTCGAAGTTATATCTGGAGCTCCCCCCTGGATACAAGCCCAGATCGAACCAGTTCGCAGCACCGGTTCCCAGGAGAGAGGCCGGGAGGCACGTGTTGACGAAGTTTGGGCATCGGTCGGGGGCGTCGAACCTGGGGACCGTCCGCGCACATGCCCCAGGACACGATGCGCCCACCCCCCTCTGCCTGACCCCCTCTTCCGCGCACCCGAACCTGAGGCCTGGGTCAGGGGGCTGGCCCAGGGTCACGATGTTCCAACCTACTTTAGCCTTGACCACCAGAAAGAATTTCGAGTACCAAGAGAGTACCGAACCTGGAGGGTTTTCGCGTGTCGGGCCCTGCGAGACGATACTCATTCGACAAAGTTTCGATACTTCTCTGGGTGCTCGAAATAATTTCTGGGATGTGGTCCTCAAGTACGATGTGAGCAACATAAGCCCAAGGGGGGGGGCCAGGAGCGCGCGGTGCCGCCATCGAGAGCCAACCGCCGCTGCCAGTGGCGATGCGTCGCCGATTCCACGTCCACCTTACGCCCAAGAAGCGTTCCCCCTCAGTCTGAGAACCGGGCGGGGCTAGGACTAAATCGGGCATGTCCCCCTACAGGAGGAATTTTCGAAAATAGTAAAAAATAGTCTGAGGACGATTTTTAGATGTTTTTTATGTTTGAATGTGTTTTTTTTGTTTGTATTTTCGTCCGAAATGGGCCTGTAGGGGGACAAGCCCGACCTAAGGCTAGGACGAGGATAAATCCGGTCCAGAGCGTTCCGGAACGCTCTCAGAGCGTTCGGAGTGCTCCGAGCTGGCCGCGGCGCCCGAGACATCTTCCATGATGGGCCTGCTTACCACCAACACCACCATGAGTTAGAGGGGAGATGGAGGTGGAGGATGAGGAGAAAGAGGAAGAAGAAGAAGAAGAGGAGGAGGAGGAGGAGGCCCCCCTCCCCCTCCTACTCATGGTGGTGGACGTAGAAAACAAGACCACCGCTCCAGATCCGCCAGATCTCAGAGCTTCCCGACTCATCCTCTCCCGAGTTTCTCGTCGTCCTGGCTTCGTCTTGCAGCTTCGCTCGGTCTCCAGAGGCTTCAGATTTGGCGCGCCCGCGTGCCAGCGTGTCTGCGGGGGGGCGCCCCGGCGGGCATCCAGCTCTAGCGGCCTACGAGCCGCCCGCGGGGCAGCTCGGAGGCCCTGCACGGCAGAGCACCCTGGAGCCGGGAGCCTCCAGAGTTGGGGGCAATGTTTCGGGCGGGTGGTGGTGGTAGTAGTAGTAGTAGTAGTAGTAGTAGTAGTAGTAGTAGTAGTAGTAGTAGTAGTAGTAGTAGTAGTAGCAGGAGTCGTAGTAGTAGTAGTAGATAGTAGGTCAGGAGTCTAGTAAGTATGCTAGTATGGTGTGATAGTCGGTTAGTGGTAGTGGTAGTGTTGGTTGTAGTGAGTGGTAGTAGTGGTTAGTAGTAGTAGTAAAGTAGTTAGTAGTGTAGTAAGTAGTAGTAGTAGTAGTAGTAGTAAGTAGTAGTAAGTACCGTAGTAGTAGTAGTAGCCGCTGTCGTAGTAGTACGTGTAGTAGCCGAAGTAGTGGTCGTAGTAGTAGTAGTAGCTGTAGTAGCAGTAGAACTAGTCGTAGTAGTCGTGGTAGCAGTAGTAGTAGTAGTAGTCGTAGTAGCAGTGGTAGTAGTCGTAGAAGTAGTAGTAGTAGTAGTAGTAGTAGTAGCAGTAGGAGTAGTACTAGTACTAGTGTGTAGAAGAAGTAGTAGTAGTAGTAGTGTAGTAGTCGTAGTAGTAGGTAGTTAGACAGTAGTAGTAGTAGTAGTCAGTAGTAGTAGTGGTCAGTAGTAGTAGTAGTAGTAGTAGCAGTAGCAGTAGCAGTAGCAGTAGTAGTAGTAGTAGTAGTAGTAGTAGTAGTAGTAGTAGTAGTGCAGTAGTAGTAGTAGTAGTAGTAGTAGTAGTCGTCGTAGTAGTAGTAGTAGTCGTCGTAGTCGTAGTAGTAGTAGTAGTAGTAGTAGTAGTAGTAGTAGTAGTAGTAGTAGTAGTAGTAGTAGTAGTAGTAGTAGTAGTAGTAGTAATGGTAGTAGTAGTTAGTAGTTCGTAGTAGTAGTAGTAGTAGTAGTAGTAGTAGTAGTAGTAGTAGTAGTAGTAGTAGTAGTAGTAGTAGTAGTAGTAGTAGTAGTAGTAGTAGTAGTAGTAGTAGTAGTAGTAGTAGTATAAGTAGTAGTAGTAGTAGTAGTAGTAGTAGTAGTAGTAGTAGTAGTAGTAGTAGTAGTAGGAGTAGTAGTAGTAGTAGTAGTAGTAGTAGTAGTCGCAGTAGCAGTAGCAGTAGCAGTAGCAGTAGTAGTAGTAGTAGTAGTAGTAGTAGTAGTAGTAGTAGTAGTAGTGGTTAGTGGTAGTGTAGTGTAGTGGTAGCTAGTAGCAGTAGTACAGTAGTAGTAGTATAGTAGGTAGTAGTATGTATTATTGAGTAGCCAGTGTTAGTAGTCAGTAGTAGTAGTAGTAGTAGTGATAAGTGAACGTTAGTGTAGTAGCCAGTAGAGTAGTAGTAGTAGTAGTAGTAGTAGTAGTAGTAGTAGTAGTGGATTGGTAGTAGTAGGTGTAGTGGTAGTAGCTAGTAGTAGTAGTAGTAGTAGTAGTCGCTTAGTAGTAGTAGTAGCATTAGCAGTCGCCAGTTAGCAGTAGTAGCAGTAGTAGTACTACTAGTAGTAGCAGTAGTAGTAGTAGTAGTAGTAGTAGCAGTAGCAGTAGCAGTAGCAGTAGCAGTAGCAGTAGTAATAGTAGTAGCAGTTGTAGTGATAGTAGTAGTAGTAGTAGCAGAAATAGTAGTAGTAGTAGTAGTAGTAGTAGTAGTAGTAGTAGTAGTAGTAGTAGTGGTAGTGGTAGTAGTAGTGGTAGTAGTAGTAGTAGTAGTAGTAGTAGTAGTAGTAGTTACAGTAGCAGTATTTGTATCAATAGTAGTAGCAGTAGAAGGACCGGTAGTAGTAGTAGTAGTAGTAGCAGTGCTGGCAGAGGTAGTATAGTAGTAGTAGTAGTAGTAGCAGTAGCAGTAGTAGTAGTAGTAGTAGTACTAGTAGTAGCAGTAGTGGTAATAGTACTAGTAGTAGTAGTAGCAGTAGCAGTAGTAGCAGTAGTAGCAGTGGTAGTAGTACTAGTACTAGTACTAGTACTAGTACTAGTAGTAGTAGTAGTAGTAGTAGTAGTAGTAGTAGTAGTAGTGGTAGTGGTAGTGGTAGGGGTAGTGATAGTAGTAGTACTACTAGTCGTAGTAGTAGTAGTAGTAGTAGTAGTAGTAGTAGTAGTAGAAGTAGCCGTAGGAGTAGCAGTAGTAGTAGTAATAGTAGTAGCAGTAGTAGTAATAGTAGTAGTAACAGTACTAGTAGTAGCCGTAGTCGTAGCAGGAGTTGTAGTAGCGGTAGTGGTAGTGGTAGTGGTAGTAGCAGTAGTAGCAGTAGCAGTATCAGTAGCAGTTGTAGGAGTAATAGTAGTAGCAGTAGTAGTAATAGTAGTAGTAGTAGTAGTAGTAGTAGTAGTTGTAGTAGTCGTCGTCACAGTAGCAGTAGTAGTAGTAATCGTAGTAGCAGTAGTAGTAATAGTAATAGTAGTAGTAGTAGTAGTAGTAGTAGTAGTAGTAGTAGCAGTAGCAGTAGTAGCAGTAGTAGTAGTAGTAGTAGTAGCAGTAGTCGTAGTAATAGTAGTAGCAGTATTAGTAATAGTAGTAGTTGTAGTAGCAGCAGTAGCAATAGTAGCAGTAGTAGCAGCAGTAGTAGGAGTAGTAGTAGTAGTAGTAGTCGTAGTAGTGGTAGTGGTAGTGGTAGTAGTAGTAGCAGTAGTAGTAGTAGTAGTAGCAGTTGCAGTGGTAATAGTAATGGTAGTAGCAGTAGTCGTAATAGTAGGAGTCGCAGTAGTAGTACTAGTATTAGTAGTAGTAGTAGCAGTAGTAGTAGTAGTGGTAGTGGTCTTAGTAGTAGTAGTAGTATGTGTAGTAGTAGTAGTAGTAGTAGCAGCAGCAGTAGTAGTAGCAATAGTACTAGCAGTAGTAGTAAAAGTAGTCGTAGTAGTAGTAGTAGTAGTCGTAGTAGTAGTAGTAGTAGTAGTA